GGCAGTGGAGCTGCTGCTTGCAGCCAAAATCTTTGAACTGTGCTGTGTGTGGCTCAGGAAGCATGCTCTTGGAGCAAAGACTTGCAGACTTGAGCACACATGGCGGCATAGGCTTGCAGACAACACAAGCACTTTGGCATGCTGTTGTGAAAACAAGGGTAGAGTGCCAGGGTTAATGGTTGGGAGCGCGGCTTTTTTGAGGCACCGGTAAGCCTCCTGACATCACGCTTCTGAGACGCCGAAGACCCCTGGGCTCTGCCGAAGACCTCTTAGCAGTTCCACAGGCTACTACTAGCCCGTCACTCCTCTACACAGGAGGAGAGTTTCCCAGTTTCGTGATCTAACTGAGAGCCAAATAGCAACCAAAAACCCCAAACCATTGATGCCTGCCCCATGGTGCTCTGTTTGCTAAGACTACATGGCGGAAGGAAAAAGGTGTCAAAACCATGGCCATGCGACGGCTGAGCTGAAGCCTCGGTGGGCTTCTGCTTCTGCCCTATAGAAGCAACTAACTTGGTAGGGTTGTTGCATCAAGAACACGGGCAACGTCTAAACCAATCAGCAGAAGCTGACTCCCACCGCCTAAACTCTGAACAGTTCTAGTCTTCAAGCCCCGAGCCCCGAAACCCTAAATGAAACCCCGAAAGTCGAAAACCCGAATGTGTCATCGTCCTCTGTTTCTTCGGAGTGACCCTGCAATGCGGGGCTTGTCCTTGCTAGGGTAGGAGGGAAAAGAGCTTGTAAACGGCTTAGGTCGTGCTGTGCCTGCTGTCTTCCCTGCGAAAGTTGGACAGTCTGGCGAAGGCTCGGCTGCCTTTTCGTTTAGTTTCTTACATTCCTCCTGTAGGGTTTAGCGCCTAAAGTTTAGGCTTTAGCGTGACGGTTTGGTCTCGGTTAAGGGCTCCGGCTTCGTGGTTGAGGGGCATTTTAAATAAGATTTGTGAACTCGCATCGGCATCTCGCAGATGTGAAGGCCGAATACGTTCAGGCTGAGGGTCAAGTGTGGGCCTGGTAGGAAGCACTCAGGCAGAGCGCGCAGACATGCCCCTGATGAGTTTGCGAAGCAAAGATCTGATACGACTCTTCTATTTTTTTTACGAGGTTTTTTTTGAACTTCTTCCCTTCTTGTTTGCAGCTTGGAGCTCTGAACCGTTTTTTGCTACCCGACTGTGGGGCCGTGGGGGCCAGCACGGTGGACGAACCCCAGGACCTTAAAATCTTAGAACGCTTGCAGGCACTTTTTGGCTGATGATAAGTCTTAGGACAGGTCCAACTTCCGGACCATTCCCTGTCTGATTCCAACAGTACTGCAGTTTATCTTTTTGCAACCCGTCTGGGCGGGAACTGACGTAACAACTTGCTCGGGCTCCGCTCTATCGCCAGATTTCTGTTCTGGCCTTGGCTGTCTACGCATACCTGCTGGTGGTCCTGCCAATCCGATGGGGCACTGAAGAGTTGCGTCTTGACCAAAAATGGTCTCGCTTTCTGCCCAATGAACTTTACGACTTTATGGCGGGAGTTCCGTAGTGTTTTGAGAACAGTCTTACGCGGGTTTCCGGCAGGCAGGCTGGTTGTCAGAGGTTCATGTGGTCGGAAGAGGAAGTTGAGACTGAGAACTGACGTCGGTTGAACGAGCCAATGACCCCTTCCTTGGTGACTTCTGTAGGTCGCTGGGCAAGACACGGGTGATTGAGGGGCGAGGCCACTGCTCTATTCGGCTAAGGGTTTAGAACTACTACATACAGTAAGGCCCCCTAGTAGGTTTCTGGCTATTCGGCCTTTCGTCGCTGGAAGTCGGCATGCACCCCATCGCTTGACCGATCACAGACTCCAACCCTGCCCCACTCAAACACCGTTTTAGAGGATATATATATATATATTAGGACATGTGTGTATAGAATATGTTTATTCACCCTTTATGTGCAGCTTGTTTGAATCGAAGAACTCATGAAGTCTCTCTGTCTCTGTGTGTCTCTCTCTCTCTCTCGCGTGCTCTCTTCTTTCATGTCTCTCTGCATGCAAGGACAAGTGGGCGAGCTCCGAGCTTGGCAGGCAGATACCTCACCGGGCAGGGCTTGCGCGGTTCAGAACTGACACATTTCATCACTGTGACGCCACGCTGATCTCGTGCTAACTCTCAGCGTGCGCCGGGGATGCAAGAAGTTCTGCCCGAACAGTTCCTCCTATGCAGACCCCAATGGCCTTCATCGCAGGCGTCTGGGGGAAGTTTGAACCCAGCAACCTGGGACTGTGGCAGCTTTTCCGCAACGATCGCTTGGGGTTCTCGGCTATTTAAGCATCTTTCTGACGCGTCGCTCTCAGGTTGGGAACGTCCATCTTTGCGCAGGAGGCCTTCTGCTAGGACTTAGGACATAGGAGGGGTCCCCACCCAGCAGCTGGCGGGTGTGCAGGCAGTTGTTGTCAGCCAGTGCGTGTACCAGGAGAAGGGTCTGCTATGGTCTGCCGTAAAATGTCAGGCTGACAGGGGGAATTCTTGAAATTGCATGGCCAGGACACGCGCCTCAGGGATCATCGGGCCTTTCGGCCAATCCTCGTGTCCAGCTTCCTGATCTGTTCTGTTGCAAGCACTGCTCTAGCGGCCTTTGGGTGCATGTGCTACGGTGCTTCGGCGGCGCTTGACGTATGCTTTGTATGCGAATTTTCCCGGAAGAGGCGCATGATCGACATGTGCAGGCGACTCGGTCAAGCAGGTCTTCTATCTCAATTTCCCTGCCAGCAGCCTGGATGTGGCTGGGCTGCTTCAATGAAACCCGAGAAACCTGTTACTGTGAGCTGGAAGGGCTGTCGTTCTGTCGCGACGGACAGAACTGAGCAGCAGCAGCAAGCGCACCCCAGAGTAAGATCATCTGCAGATATGCATCGCGTTCCCGCAAGGTCAGCAGTAAATCATCATGATGTGTGTTTCCCTCGACCTACTGGAAAAAGTCGCATACAGTGAGCTCTTCCCGTCCGCTGCCCATGTATCTGTAGGTAACGAACCACAGCTGCCTCCAAACCTACACCTCTCACCCTACAGGCACTGCCGCCCCGGGCTTGGGGATGAGATTAACGCATAGAGCTCTGACTTGGAGTCGTTGAGTCTTGGTTGGCTGACTGCACATAGGTCACCATTGCGGAGACCATTCTTTGCCTGGTCCTGCTCCCCACCTTCGTCATTCAGCTGTGCTTCAGCCGCACTTCTTTGCAATGAATAGAGGGGAATTCGTAGAGTCGACTTAGGCCCCTTTTAGGGTTCAGCCTTCTGCGACAAGGTATCCGGTGGCGAGATGCTTCGATGAGCTCCCCGTCTGCAAAGCCTGAGGTTGTATCCATCAAGCTGCATCCAGAGCTTGCGTCGACCCCTTGACTTTAGACTGGTTGTCATGTTTTGTCGGACTCTTTTGACCCGATCTGAGGCTTCTAACTTGTGCAGGTTACGTCAGCCTTTCCTCGGATGACTCCGACGAAACCTTGGAAGACTCCGAAGAGGGCAGAGGTGGGGCGGGTTCCACAGTTCCACTTCATCTGAATCAGGAGCCATAGAACGCGGCTTTTTTTCATGCGGCGCTTGGAGGCCAAAGTTGCCTGGTGAAAGTCCTCGCGCGGTGGTTGCTCGTGATCATCACTTGCGTAGTGGCTGCGGCCGAGAGCCTCAGAATGCCGAGGGTTACACCACGTTAACTCCGGATGAGCTTGCTAGAATCTTAGAGGTGGTGCCGGACTTGGCCTGCATCTCTGGCTACAGCGGCAGCTTTGCGATGAGTTCCACGGCAAGACCAGCAACTGGCTATTTTCCCTTAATCTGATGACGTTTTCTGCTGCATTTCTAATCTGAACCTGTTACGCCAATCGAAGCGACCAGCCCAGGCGTGATTGGCTTCTTCCTGCCGCCGCTATGCCATCTGAAGCTACATCACTTCCGCGTGTCCACGTCCCCTTGTCTGCAAAGCAACGTAGGATGCTCGCCGAGGCCGTTGCTGATAGTATCAGGCGTAGTAATAGTACTACAGCAGAAACAGTCTTCATAAATCTAGTAACCAGACTGCCAGAATAGTTATCATAACAGTACTTGCGCATCACAGCAGTCGGTGTGAATCAGAATGGTAGCCATCAGCACAACCAGACTCTTCTCGAGGCTTGACTGGATTCTGGACGTGGGCTTGCTTGCAGTCGGGGTGACCGCTCTTGTCCTGGGCGTCAGCAATACGCACTGCGGCGCTGAGTGAAAGAATCGGCTTGAGATGTCACAGAAAGAGGTTTTGTTTTAAGATCCATTTCTGAAGTAATCGATTGGGATGTTGTGTCGATAGAGGCCTTGTACATACTGCATGGGCAAGCACGGCAGTCAGCAACCATTGCTGGCCGAGCTGTTTTCCCTGGTGCGCTGTGCAGCAAGTAGGCAGGTCCACCGATTGCGCAGAAGTGAGCCAGAGAGGTGGCAGGAGAAAGAAAGTGGATTGTCGTCTTCCTTGAACTTCAACCCCAACTCCTGGAGCAGATCTCCCCTGCTGCTTTCCTCACCAACGCTGTGAGTTGAGACGTAACCCTGAAAAGCACTGGCTCTCAAAGTGACTGAAACCACCGCAGGGCCCTGCGTTCTGCCTTGAGCCCTGAGCTCCAGGTGGCTTCAAGTGGGTTTAGGTCTTCAGGGCTTGGGGAGCTTCAAAGGCACGCGCCTGAGAATGAGAGCCTCTGGGCTCGATTCCCTGAGGTTATTGGACTTTCGAAGCTCGAAAGCCCCCAAAAGCTCTACAGCCGAGAGCTGGGAGTCCGTGTGGGGGCTTGCACTCCTAGACTCCTCGCAGCACCCTAAACCCTAAACCCGAAACGTTTTAGTGACCGTAAACTGAAAGCCCGAGCCGATGGGACGAGAAGCCTTGTGCCCAACTCTGAGATCCCATAGCTCCCTAGACCCTAATAACCCTAGGCCCTGAACCCTAAACCCTAAACCCCTAAACCCTCTTCGCACCATTGACCTCGCCTGGCTTGTCCGAGTTGTGAGAGCGTAAACCCCTAAACCCCTAACCCCTAAACCCTAAACCCCTAAACCCCTAAACCCCTAAACCCTGAACCCGAAGCAGCTAAGAGCTTCTCCACCGAATGAGGTGGCGGGCACCATCCTTTGCGGCTTTCTGGGAAGGTGGGCCTTGCTCTTCTTGGTCTTGCTGGGTTCTCATTTCGTGGCCCAAAAGAGGGGAGTTGGTTTCGGTTGTAAGGCTTCTGACGTGGGTGATGATCCCCTCCCCAGGGAACTGCAGGAATCGCAGTTCTATCTGATCGGCAGAATGCACATGCCACGACATCATGCACGAAGAAGCCTTCAAACAAGAAGACGCATGTATCCTGTGCACTGCACACGTCTCCACATGTGTACATGGTATATCACGCCCTAACCCTCCAGGTACCTACTATATAGGGCCCTAGGGGCTCTAGTACCCTCTATAGTAGGTACCTGGAGGGCTAGGGACGCCTACCTGTTTGGCCGGGACTTGCCGCTGTCAGGAAGCCGGCGCCCGCGCATGCGGCTTTCCGCCGTCTCGGAGGAGCCGGCGACGTGCTCCCTGCAGCAGTCGCCCACTGCGAAAACGTAGGTCCTACAGAGGTTTCAATGTAGTATAATGTAGTCCTGAGACTGTCCTTTATGGGTGTGAAACATTGCGTTTGCTGGCGCTTTGAAGCATTTAGCCTAAGTGTTCTGGCAACTTTCCATCATGCAATGGTTGCCGACTGTCAGACTGTCCTTACCCACGCATGCCTCGCGACATCTGGTTTGCACCTCACATAATGATCTGTCTGAAAACCCAGAACTAGTGTGACATGTTACGATGACATCCCAAGCTTGCTGTTAGCTGTTGCGAGAATGAGCTTCTCTAACATGTGGTTCCAATCTGACCCCTGGGCTTTGCAAACAGTTGGGCGAGTTCCCACACTCGGCGCATGCATATAGGGGCTCGAGTAGTTGGAACGCTTTTCATGAGGGTCACTCATATAAGAACCCTAAACCTTAAGCCCTAAACCCTGAAACTATAGTATAAGCCCCCTAGACCTAAGCATCAAGGCCCGTCTATTATCCAGACCTGCGCCCCAGGAGCCGATCGGACCACCCTAAACCTTGAACCCTGAAGCATCCTGTAATCGTAGAAATACTTGTAATCACAGAGTAATAATAGTACACTTAATGAGAAAAATAGTATACTTATAAGAATACTAGTATACTTATAATCATACTAGTGTACTCTTAGCAATAATGGTAATCGCAGTAATCTCGCACGCAACCGGGAAGGACAACCTGTTGGGGCTGGATCAGGACACAGTCGACTTGCACAGGACTGGGCGCGAATAGGAGACTCTGGGATATCGGACGACTTGGCCCGCAGATAAATCCGAAGCCTCCCGACCTGCCACGCGATTTTGCTGCAGATGGTTTTCGTCACTTCTCAGCTCGGTGCTCCAAAAAAAGGCAAGACACGGTTGGCATCCTCACTCCTTTGTTGCATAGGCTAGTGCTTTGATTCGGGGTTCAGGCTTTACATGCAATTTCGTCTCTGCAAGAGTGATCTCTAGTGTTGGTTGTGCTCGAGCCGATCTCAGTGAGATCGCACAAGACCCGGCGTCGAAGCAGGAAGCACATTGCAAGAAAGGGTTTTTTTGGGAAGCGGCCGGAGTCGGACATCGGAAGCTGTTTCTTCGTGCAAGGAAGTACCACGATGCGACCATAACGTACACGGCCGGGGGCTGAGCCTTGGGTGATACACCCTGGTCGCTAGTCGCTACATCCCGAACCTGAAACCCGAAACTCTAAGCCTTACATCACGAATCCCTCGTCCCCAATCCATGACCCTGAATCCTCATTAACTCGTCTTTTTGCAGGCCAAGACTCCCCGGAAAGCGTGTTATCTACCATGACTCCCGATTGTGGCAAGAGCTCAGTGGTTCCAGGCCATGAACATTGACTGGGCACAGGACAAGGCCGGGACTCGTTATTGCGATTTGCGATTGGAGCAATCGAGAGTTCAAAACGGTTTTTCGCTCACCAAACGCTTGAGCCCGAAACCGCAGAATCCCCACAGATGAGTCTCCTGCTATCCAGCAAGCGCGGGCTGCCGAAGCCTTTGCGGCCTGAAGCGAGGGCTACGAGAATGATGGGGAGCTTTCCGAAACCGAGCGGGATGCCGTGGCCGGCAGCCCAGAGGAGACGACTTCCAAGTACTCATGTGATGTCAAGTGGAGTCAAGTTCGCCATGCTGAGGCTCGTGACATCCAGCTCAATCAGCCCCCCGAACCCTAACTCCAAGATTCACACCTGTAGGAACATGCACCTAAACCCTTGTCCGAGTGCAGAGTCTCAGAGTTCTAAGGCTCGCGCGGCCCGAGCTCGGCTCTTTCGCTGGCCGGAGCTGGAGGACCGCGATGTGCACGCCGGGGCCCGAGAGCCGCAAGAAGAGAGCCGCAGGTTCCCTCGGTTTGAGGGTCGATCCAAGGGAGCTCTCATTCTCCAAAAAGCCGTAAACCCTAAAAGCCTAAAGCCCTAAACCCTAAACCCTCTTCTTCTGTTTTTAAAGCAACGGGAGAGCCTTTCGTATATTGTTTTTTGAAACCGCAGGTCAGGGGTGTAGAGGCCGGGAGAGGGCGCCTTTTGTAGCAAAGCTATGGCTTCTCTGGACACCCTTAGTTCGCCGAACTGGTACATGGGTGTGGTCTATGGTTGAAACTCGTGAGAGACGGGCAGTGCACGAAACTGACTGGGGGTGCTAGAACTTTAGGGCCCGGGCGGTCGAGCTGGTTCGGAAGTTGTTTTGTTTTTGATTTGTTCCAGTGGGAGCTGGCTTCTGTTTGCTTCTGCGTTCGCTTTGGTTGGGGCTTGGAGCTTCGAGCTTTCTCCGTGAAAGAGAGTCTTCGGTCTGTTCAGGCGGTGGACTTCGGACCCGAGCGTCTTCGCTTCTGCCGGGCGCCGCAGAGGATGGGATTTGGGGAAGAGAGGATTCCGGGATGAGGCAGCGGAAGTAGGGTCCGGGAGAAGCTCGAAGCACACCTTCTGACTGAGGTAAATCTGCAGATTCGGCTGAAGCTCTCGGAGATCCGGGAAAAAACGCCTGGGACGTACATTCGGGCACTCAGCAGATTGCAATCGTGTCCTTGCCTAGTTGGATCGAGGTTTTCGTGGTGAGCCAGATGCGTCGTCCATCCCGCTTGAGACATGCGCTGAATGCCTCTTGGCCCGAAGCGATGGACATGGTTCCGCTGTAGCGTGGGATTCTGCCGTCGACTTCCCAACAACCCCAGGCCGACTCAGCCTTTGCGCTTTGCTTTTGCGAGAGCACCAATGCATGAAGCAACATGTTGTTTGAGGAGCTGTATCGCGAGGGCATCAGTGCGAATATCGCCGAAGACTGAGGAAGCGACATGCACCAGACATGCTGCGCCGTGCTTGCTCGAGCTGCCGAGTGCTGCCGGGGTGACTCATCTTAGGTCGATGCCGTTGATGGAGATGGCTTTCGCGCGCAGGATGAACTGGAGAGGCATCTTGCCATCTTGGCCTCCTACTGCCGCAAGTCCCACTGCTTGCATAAGTCACACCATTAGTCGACGACGACAGTGGCGACCACGACAGCGACGACGGCGACGATGACGATCGCTTCTGCTGCTGCTGCTGCTGCCGCCAGGCCACTGCCACCGCTACTGTTACCCAGTACTCCAAGCGCATGCGTGACCACTACCGCCTGAGACCAGCTTGTTGTCTGTCGGAGCGTCGGAGGCTCGAGACAGAGGCGGGCAGACAGCAAGAACTCAGAGACCAAGCACACCGATCTCCACGACCAATGCACTAACCCCCCGCTTGTGCGTAGAGTGACTGCTGGGCAGCCCATGCCGCCATGAGCTTGGTTCGAGATCCCGTCGTCGCTGAAGCCTTTTTCGCGCAGCTTCCTGCCACAGACCTCAGCCCTGCGGAGGCATCGCTGCTACGAGCACTCTTGGCTCTTGGGGACGCCGCAATTGCTCTGGGCTTGCCTGCAGGCGTGAGCCTCCAAGAATGGGCAGAGAGGCGTGTGCCAGGGCATTGTGTGGGTCAGGCGAATGCAACGGGCCTGGTCTTCATCCCTACGGCTGCCAAGGCCACTCCTCCCATGAGCTTGGTGAGAGAGGGTGGCAACAGCCGTCGGGATTTGGGACCCTCTGGCGCTGTGGAGGCAGTGAAAGCCACGGTGGTCCGATCCATCGTGGCTGGGGTCAAATCCATCGGAGCCACCATGCTGGGGCCGCTGGGGGCCATGCTTCGGCTGAAGAAGGCCGAGGAGCCAGATAGGATGGAGGCCGTCGAGAACACCTTCTACTACGACACCGTGCAGAAGCGATGGCGGCAACATGGTGTCGAGGACGTCGATGTCTCCCAGATAGATCCCAGGACTGGCCGGCCAAAGGCGCCCGACTTCTCGGCGCATCTTCCGCCGCCACCCATGAACGGTCCCACGAGTGGCTCCTTGAACAGAGCCGGCCTTCAGGCAGTCGGCTCCCTCTATGTCGATCCCTTGGCCAAAGGCACTACGGCCTGGAGCGATGCCACCCCGACGGCACCCACGACGCCCTCCGCGGCGATGGCCGCAGCCCCGGCAGCTTGTGCGGACATGCTGCAGTACCGGTCGCCGCTGGACGAGGACTGGCAGAGCAGCGGGCAAGTCGCCGGCAACGTTCCCTTTCCGACGCCTTGTGCGGCTTTTGAAGATGGCTCCTACCCGTTGAACCAAGATCTGCAAGATAGCCGACTTCTCGATCCGCCCAAAGGCCAGCGGTGCAATAGCTTTCTCCAGAATGTGTAGGAGAATCATGGTGTCTTTCTTCTGCACGTTCGGTCTCTTTGCATCTCAAACCGTAGGCCATGGTTGCTTGTCACGAGGTGCCGATAGTCGTCTTCTGGCAGTTTCGTTGAATTCTGACTCCGGAGTTGCGAGCCGTGAGGGTTTGAGGAGCATGAGCGCAGTCTCTGAAACCGCAACTCTTACCGGGCATGTCCGCGACCCATCCAGGACCAATGACGATGTGTGATGGGCCAGGCAATGGCTCTCTCCTTCCAGGCCTCCTTAAAGTGGATCGCAAGAAGTAACGCCGTTGAGCGACATCTGCTGCTGTTGAAGGTTTGGGATTCGGGTGCTTTGAGTCTTCTATACGCGTATATCGCCTATGACCAGTAGAAGTTGGACTGTCATAGCAAGAAGCCAGCTCTTTTCGTTGACAGTTTGAAGCCTTTGTTCCTGTCTTGACGCAGGAGGAGCTAGTAGATGAGTTGCCGAAGACCCGGACATGAGCATTGGAGAAGCAATTGTGTCTTGGGTGTGAAGGTTCCTTGCACAACGTTGCTCTGGCATGGGTCCTGCTGAAGTCAGTCCCATGTCCGGAGTGCAAGAGCCAGTGCACTGGCATTGTTTGAATGATTTGCCGTGACCTGCCTGGCATGTACAGAATGCTGCTTTGCCCGTTGCTCTGCTTAGCATGCTTCGCAGAGGTACGTGCAGGGTCCTGAGAGTCAACGACGATGCGTGTAATGCTGCGGTGGAAAAAGACTCTACAGCTGATTTTGCCGATAAATTGAACAGTTTCCCAGCGCACTAGCTCTCGCGCGTCTCCCAAATTAACCAAGTTAGGATCCAGTGGTCGTGGACCGGACAGTCTGAACTGAATCGAAGACCCGACAAATAGTTGGAAGTTGCAAGGCTTAAATCACGATGTAGCACATCCAATGACAATGAAGTACAGCTCCATCCATGTTTGGAGCCGCCAGCAGGCAGAGTAGCTGGCACCCCGGCTGCGAAATTAAGACGCCGTAAGACACCTTCACCACCCGCTCAAATGGAGGTCTCATGTTCACATTCATGCAACATCGTCACGAAGATTCGGCTTGCACCTCTGTTGGTATTGTATGCATATCCAGGGCGCGAAAATTAGGCACTGTGTATGTCTGGACTTATCTATAACTGATAACCAACACCTGTGGACATAATCTAGGGCTGTTGCGAGGAAGCCCATGGAGCCCTTCATGAGCAATCACCCGTAGATGCACATATGCACGTATAGACACAGAAATACGCATAGTTCACAAACATACATATGTGCTGCATACATGCGCCGCAGGGCGAGCACCGCTTTTGCCAGGCTTGGCATCATCCCTGTCCCCGGCTACGAAGGCCACAAAAACCACGGCATCCACCTCACCACGGGGGAGGTCGGCGTTTGAGCCAGTTTGCTTTGGGGACTCTCTGTCCAAGACGCTTTTGCTTCGTTTGCTCTCACATGCTGCAACTGTTTCTATAGTTGTTATTGATATTCTCACTTCTATCATCCATGTTTGTTATTGCTGCTATTTCTTTCTAAATATTTCTCTTGCAGTTTATAGTTACTAATCTGGTTGTCACGACTGGCGTTTCCATAATAATGATTTATGGAATTGCCAGGTGGGCTGCTTCATGAGCCACTTCACGATTTGGCATCACATGGTCAAGCTCGACTCTCGAAGTTCATAGCAAAGTTGTGCATAGCTCCGAGCGCGAGACACCGGGTTAGGCTTGTATGGATGAGGCACAACATTCCAGCCGCCCTCATCTTGGAAGATGACTTCGATCTACAGCCCGACTTTGCGTTCTTGCCTGAGCATCAGACAGCTTGGCACATCGCCTTTGTGGCCGTGGCGCTGAACTGGGAGCTTCTGCTCACTAGATGCTCCCAAGCTCAGCATCCACATGCAAGATCCACAAACTACAATCCTGCAAGCCCTTGCTGAAGCAAACCACGATGCAGTCCCAAGTGCTTTCTGCCCTCAGCGGAAATCTCTGGAAGCTGCCTGGATTCTTCTTTGCTCGACAATGCGTCTTAGAAGGTGATGAGGAGAGAGTCGTGCTGGATGTTACCGCAAGGCTAAAGCTCGGGGAGTACCTTGAGGAGGCTGGCCTTTTTCCTTGATGACAAACCCAACACCAAAGCCGCAAAGCTTGAAGCAACTGGATTGTAGTAGTAGTAGTAGTTGTAGTAGTGGTGGTAGTAGTAGTAGTAGTAGTGTGATGGTTGTGGCAGTGGCAGTGGCTGTGGCAGGGTGGTAGTGGTAGTGACTGGTAGTGGTCGTGGTCTGGTAGTAGTGGTAGCAGTAGGAGGAGGAGGAGCTCTGTAAGTGCTACTGCTGCTGCTGCTGCTGCCTCTCCTCCTCCTCCTCCTCCTGATTGTCGCTTCCTCTTATCCCCCAGTGCATTTCTGGTAGTTGAGCACGTTGTGGCAGATCTACTCGTGCAGCCGGCTGCTCGTGCTGTCAACATGAGTAGTTCTACAAGCAGCAGAACCGGTGGCAGTCGTCGTCGCCGCAGTGGCCACATAGAGGGGCAGATTAGATGGCAGCATGGGCAGTTGTCGCTGACAGGCGCGCGGCTACGACTGGAACCTCCTGTACGTTGGGCTCGCGGCTCATCTGTGGGACTTTACAACACTCGCAGTCTAAAGCGGTGGTAGCAAATGCTGTGAATCTTAAGAATACACTGAACCACTGACGGTCATTCTGGCATGTTTCCATCTGGCCGACTGAGAAGTCTACAGCTTTGCTCCAAAGAATTGGCTATAGGGGTGGTCAGCCCAAGAAGTTTGTGCCGGCTTTGTTGCTTTGCAGCGTTGGATGGGCATGGTAAGGGGTTCTCAAAGCTGACATCAGCGAACAGAAGAGAGCCCACAAAATAATGCAACTGCCAATGCCGGAAAGCAAAGTCAGATCAGGCAATGCTAGCCACAAAGTACTGGGACATACATGTGGGATTCTCGACACTGCATGCAAGAATGCTTCATTCCTTCATGTTGTTCTTGACATTGTCGTGTCTTGACCAACACACCACCGGATTACAGAAACAAGGGCACCCAGAAGAAAGCTCACTCACAAACCAGGAAACAACAGAGAACCCTCGCACGATTTGCGTTTTGTTCTTTTCAATTTCATAACTTATGGGTTGATTCAAGTCCGCCCTGGTCGCTACATGGGCTCTACTTGCTGTAACGAGGTTCCAGACGTTAAGCTACCACGGGTTAGATACACTCGACTCAAGATTGCAATCAGCATCCTCAATATCTGTGCCGGCCTTGTCATTGGCAAAGAAACGACTTCCGTTTTCTGACCGTTTCAGTAGTTGGCGCTATGAGGCACGGGAGACTTAGTGACTTAGTACGTATGTTAGTACAATTACAGGTACCGGGAGTTAGGTTATGCTAGTTGAAACCCTCATTCTGAATACATGCCTAATCCTTGAAGTAGAGGAGAATTTGCCGTTGAGGCGCAGCCCCACCGAACCGGATTGGACACGGCTGTCGCAGCACATCGTGGAGCCAGGCTACACGCTATGGACGGTGCGCCCGGGACTGGGGTTGGTGTCTGGGATTTGGGTTTACGTTGAGGACCCAGGATGTGTTCAGTAGGACTCGGTACTAGTGTTGGCTTTGACCTGGTTTCGGGCTTGTGAGCTATCAGATAGCAGGGAAAATAATTCGGATAGCTCCAAACCTGGGGACCCTAATCTAGAATCCCCGAGAAATAGCGTCCGTGCTTGTGAAGAGACGCAAGAAACCATGGCGTCCTGAGCGCCATCCCACGCGACCCACGCTCGAACCACTCCGGCCCACATCGTTCGCGAGAGAGAGGCACAGAGAGACAGTGTAGGGCAATGGCATGACGAATTCAAAAGACCCTGGTGCCGGAGAGTCGTTGTTTCGCGATCCTGTTCTTCAAGCTGCACCACTTATGTCTGTGAGCCAAGTGGCGCAATCAATAGTTACCATGGCATTTACAAGAACACTACTGATGCTTGCAATTACCGTGCAGCGAACCTGCCTCTGTCTCTCTCTCTCTCCCTCTCCCTCTCCCTCTCCCTCTCTCTCTCTCTCTCTCTCTCTCTCTCTCTCTCCCCGTTCGTTGTGAAGGTGGGCTACATCATGCGCCTGGATGGCGCCAAAGCACTGCTAGATGCCCGTGTGGAGGTGTGGATGTAGGGTTGGGAGCATGTCCCAGAGAGCTCCCTTGGAGCTCTTGCTAATGGAAAATCATCCTTCACAATCCAAATCTAGGTCAGAATCCTTGGAATCTCAGCAGTGGCTGCTGCGACTGTTGTGGAAGCCTGATCAGGTACCCACATCTTTTCCTGATAGAATTGTAATTACAAGATGCTCCAAGTCCCTGTTCTGACCGTTACAGCCACTTCTACTACGCTGTCAGCGCGCTTTCGCGCCTCTGGATGATTACTTCTCCGTGGCCGCCGGCCGCGGGTTCGATTGCTTCTACAATGACAAGGCTGGCTGGGCCACTGTGGCGGCCTTTGCTTCAACTGGGGCTTCACAACCTGACGATGATGATAGTGATGGTGGTGGTGATGATGATAATGATGGTGATGCTGATGATGGTGATGATGATGGTGGTGATGATGATGATGATCAGGGTTTCGGTGTTGTGATGGCATTCTCGTTGGCATATCATCAATTTCGTGTCTGTCCACATACCAGTGCAGCAGTCTCGATTGCTACATCTAGCTCAAGGTCCTGCTTTGTGCGATGTTGGTGCCGCTGCGGGATGGCAGGTTTTGGAGTGGAAGCCCTACATTCCGGTGCTTCTGCGACCAATGGCTTTGACACCTCCCTTGGTAATGCCGTGCGCAGGAGGGTGAGGTCGCTCTCTCATGCGAAAGAGAGGGCTTTTCTTCGTCGCGGCTGACAGGTACGTCGGTTCCATGTTCCTCAGTGACACGGCGAAGGCAAGGGGGGGTCCGACGGCAGCTGGTTGCCTAAACCCCTGGCATGTCCCAGTAGTAATCTCGGACGCTGTGAGCCATGCCTGCCTTGCGAGTGTGTGAGTCGAAACCCCGAACTTTCACCAGAGGCATCCTGTGTTAAGCGCCACTGAAGCCCAACATGTCAGCCAAGCGAATGGCTCCAGAGGTCCGTGCCGCAACGCGGTATGTGGAGGATCTCCCGGTGTCCGTTCCTGATGAGTAGGAGACAAGAGGGACAGTTTCCTCGGTTTCCACCAGTACCCAGAGAACCCTATACCCCTTAATTAAGGAATATACCAGTAATATACCTTAAATCATAATATTAAGGCCCCCATAATTTAAGGCATATTCCTTAATTAAAGGGTATTGGGTTCTCTGGGTAGTTTTGGATGTTTGGTGAAAAGCATTAGGCTTTGGGGTTCACGGGGCGCTGTCCGTGGCCAAACACGGCTGCACTGCTTCACAGATCTCTTGTGCACCGGCGGCTAACTGCGGTCTAAGCGTTGCACAATTGGAGAGCTTCGTAGCTTAGGAAGAGCGTTGCTCAAACTCAATTGTTAGATGTGTTTGGCATGTCGTGCTATTAGAGCCGCCGGAGCACCCGAGAATCTTTGTGCATTGCTTGAGCTGTGACAGCGCAGGGAACAAGAACGCAGCTCGCACTTTCGCATGCTTCCACCCATGAGCAGTGCAGGACGGTAGATAGGTGGCATAGGGCCATAAAGGCCTCAACACTTTGTTTTGGGGTTCCTTGTTATAGTCATAGAATAATCGCCCCAACAATCCTGCTCTAATTGCATTAACTTTTCGAAGGCCCTGACATTACGTGTTGCCGATGGTTGCCAACACTAGCACTCCTCGGAGAGTCGGCGGCTCCTAGAGTTCAGGATCTGCTCCTAAAGCCAATTCGAGGTTTTCCCAGGGCCCCGCGAATACCCTAAACTTCTAAACCCTATAAACCCCAAACCATCCTAAACCCTGTTGTGAGAGCCTAAACCATCCTAAACCCTAAACCGTGGCTGGAGGCGCTGTTGGAGAGTCTGCTTCGAAACCAGGGGCAGTGTGAGCCAGGCTCAGCTGGAGGAGCGAGGGAAGAAGCTCGAGGAGATCGCAGGCACGGGCCACAGATCCGTACGAGTAATGTCGTTGAGATGTTAGGATTTGAAGCTTCGATCCTCGCAGAAGAGGGAAGATTCGCTGAATCGCTAGAGGGACGAAGCTTGGACTTATCGTCAACTCTGCATTGAAGAGTGCAACAACGACTACGGCTCAAGTATTTTGGAGGCATCGTCACACCCAAGTGCACCTGAACTTGGTGCTGCGGCTTCAGTGCCGATTGGCAGGGGAAGGGACCTTGGGGTGTTATGGCGCGGCAGGCAGCAGCGGGGCAGACTGTTGTGCAGGACCTGGAAGAACAGGAAGCACTTCTGCCGGCAGAGACCTTGCGCGCAAGCAACTCCTGTCAGCTGCTGTTGATAGGAACCCTGCTGGTGGCTGCGGGGCTGGTGAGCATCTTTTTGGTGGTCTTCAGCGCCTTTGTGGACACTTGGCTGTGGCCGGTGCTGGGTTTGCTGCTATTGATGGGCCATGGTCTACTGCTTAAGGCCACCGCGGACAAGGAAGGCCCTTCCAGGGTTTCGTCTGTGGCCTTTGCGTGCGAGACCTTGGCCTACTTGGCTTTGGTGGCCACGTATTTCTTCCGCTCCTTCATGGTTCCCCGCTGGTGGTGGGTGGCAAACGCCTTTCTCTTGTGTCTTCCAGCAGGCGCTCTTGCAGCTCTGGCTTGCCTCTACCTTTGCGGCAGCAGCTCGAAGGCGGAAAAGGCCTCAACACCAGGCTATTTCTTGCTTGCTTTGGCAGACCTTCTTGTGGCTCTTCTGCTCATCTTAGCGGGCAGTGCAGCGGTCCAAGAATGGATACGATCGCTGATTCTCCCCGTGCTGCAAGGTATGATCGCCCAGCTCGCGACTTCGACACGCAGCTTCGACGGACCCTATCCGAGTTTCCCGACGTGTGACCTCACTACTTCGAGCTGCAGTCTGGGGGACTTTGAGCAAAACCAATGGACCGTGGTCCGTGTCGGAGGATCCACGAGCTGCCTTGTTGGGGATTTCCAGTTCCTGGGCTCTGGAGTGCCATGCTTTTAATACATTTTTGGGGGCCCTGGTCCTTCAAGTTATGGAGTAAAAGCTTATACTCTCTTCTCGCTGGTTGCTTCAAAGCCAAGGTTCCTGGTTTACAGAGGAGATCCCGGCAAAGTCCTTTTGCATCTCCATGGCGGAGGGGCTTGTTGGAACTGGGTGACATTTGTCGTCGAAGCATGCACTCGGGATTGGACGAGCACGATGGAGTACGATGGTATTTTCGACCCTTCCAACCGATTGAACCCGTTCTATGGGTATACTATGATAAATGTTCCGTACTGCTCCGGTGATATCTTCGGGGGGGCCAAAGAGAACTTCTGGATCCTAGCCAACCAAACCGGCAGTGCTTGGAAGAAGCAGTCCGGCTACGCGAATCTGGATGCAGTCATGACTTGGACTGAGGCGCAGTTCCAGAACGACGGTCTACACCAGCTCAAGAGCTTTGTGTTGTCGGGGGAATCTGCTGGGTCCCTGGGGCTGCAGGTTTGGGGCTCTACCATTCTGAACCGCCTCAAGGGCAGGTATGACTCCAAGGACACCTACTTGATCTTGGACTCCTTTGTCGGGGCCATGGTTGATAACAGGGACCTGCTCCAACGGCAGGTGATGGACTTCTGGAATTTCTGCGATTCCGGCGTGGTGCCGGCGAACCTGCAGTCGAAGTGCCACCCGGACACTCTCTTCTTAAGGGACTTCGTGAACGATACCCTGTCCGCATTCCCCGACGTTCGCTATCTTCCGGTGGACAGCAAGTTTGATGAAGTTCAGATTGCTTTTGCGGACATGCTCATGGCTTTGGACAGCCTCTGGATCCTGGTCACGCAGGGGTTGGACAATGTGCCATTGTTTAACGACACAGCTTTCTATAATGAGATTACGGAGATGCTTGCCAGGTTCGTCTCTTTTCCTCAGTTTGCGGTGTACTTGGTAAATTCGAGCCAGCACACCTACACCGGCTATCCCCTACGTGACATCCTACGGGTGACGCCCGCCGGCGCCCAGAACGACTGCAGCGACCCGGACGTCGGGGAGCGCCTGCTTCCCTGGCTGGCGCCGAGCCCTGAGCGCCCTCCTTTTCAGTGCTATGATCTGTCTCGAAATTCACCGATGTGGACGGGGACGTACTGCTCCTATTCCTTTCCGTGGGTGGTAGGGAAGTGCGGTAAGCTTTCAGCAGACATAGCGGAGATATCGGAGAAAGTGGGCAAATCTGAGGAAGTCGACAAGCTCGAAAAAGTGGACAAGCCAGAGGAAGTGGACAAAGCCGAAAACATGGACAAATCGAAGGAAGACAAGGCCGAGAAGTGAATCGGAGGAGTTCGACAATCTGAGACGCCATGGTATGCCAGACGTGTAAAGTGTACAGAAGAAATGGTGTGCCAGATGAGTACAGAAGGCGCGGTCTTTCCTGGACATGTAGTTCGAACTGCAGCCTTACCTGGATTTCTGCTCCTATGCCTTTTGCGAGCTTACAACCTGCTGCCGGCTCTTCTTCTAATCCGGCAGATGTTTCAACAGCCACCAGGGTTCTATGCCCGTTTCAAGCCGTTTCTCAAGTCAGGGACCTCGAGGGTCGTATAAAGTCCTCGGAGACCTCCGCAAACTTCGAGGCTTCAGCGACTCAAAAAACGAGTGCCCGAAAGTCCTCCAGTTTTGTTGCGGAGTGACAAGCGCCGATGAACCAATAAAACGTAACTCCCTAAATCCCTATAAAAATTAGGCCCGACGACTGAGGCGATTCGGAAAAGATTCGTCAAGAAGCGGCTCTTCTGAAAACCCAGCTCCAGGCAGGCTCGGAGGGCCTCTCCTGCATTTTTTTTACACTCGAAGCTGCTACAGCGTAATGTAGTACAGTATCGTGGTTATTTTGTTACCCTTGCATGGTTTATACTCGTATAATTACGTTGCTGTTGCTGTTGAAGTTGCTGTTGCTGTTGCTGTTGCTGCTGCTGCTGGCTGCTGTTGCTGTTGAAGTTGCTGTTGCTGTTGCTGTTGCTGTTGCTGCTGCTGCTGCTGTTGTTGTTGTTGTTGGTTGTTGGTTGTTGGTTGTTGGTTGTTGGTTGCTGGTTGTTGGTTGTTGGCTGTTGGCTGTTGGCTGTTGGGCTGTTGGCTGTTGGCTGTTGGCTGTTGGCTGTTGGCTGTTGGTTGTGGTTGTTGTTGTCGTCGTCGTCGTCGTTGCTGTCGTCGTTGTTGTTGCTGCTTTTGCTGTTGCTGTTGGTGTTGTTGTCGTTGTTGTTGTTGGTGCTGGTGCTGCTGCTGCTGCTGCTGCTGCTGCCGCTGTTGCTGTTGCTGTTGCTGTTGCTGTTGCTGTTGCTGTTGCTGTTGCTGTTGCTGCTGTTGTTGTTGTTGTCGTTGTAGCCGCCACGGTTCAGACGGC